CGGCCATGGCCCCCAACGTGTCCCCCCCCCCCCACTTCTGGCATGCCCCCTAACGCAAGCCCTTCCCGACTCGCCAGAACCACCCGGCGTCCGGTCCTGCTGCCCTTGACCCACCCACGCAGCGTGGGCGGGGAGTCTCCTTCCGCCGCTCCCCCGCACGAAGCCCACCCCCCTCCTCCTCGGCCGATCTCCGCAGTGGCAAGCAGAACATTCCTCCAGGCGCCCCGCTTTGCAACACCCATTGCCAAACCCTTAGAAAGACCTCGGCGGGGCGGGCCGGGAAGAGGACCTGCGGTGGGAAGGAGGGGGCGGCCGGGCACGCTCTCCCCGTCCTGCCGCGCCCCTCGGAGGCGACCGATTAGCTGGCATTTTTCGAGCTCCCCCGCTCTCCCTCCTCCTGCATCCGTCCGTCTGGCTTCCAGCAGTCCATTTGTCAGCGCCAAGCAGGCGCCCCCGCCCCGCCAAGCAGCGAGGAGGGGCCCAGCCAACCCGCCCCCCCCCCACGCCGCCGTTTTCAAATTAAAACGCCTAAACGGTCGTCGTCGGTGACACACAGACCCAGTATTGTGCTCCCGACCCGGTAAATAATCAGGTTACTGTGCTAAAAGCCCAGGAGGCTGCACAAACACACCACGCAAGCAGGCTACAGGTTCGGATCTGGCATTCTGAACTGCATAGACCGCCTCTCGCGCTTGCTAACTTGCTTGCCATCTTCACCTGGTTTTTCTAAAAGAAATACTGAAGAGAGCGGGATCGGGGCCCCATGTGCAAGGAAGGCGCTGCCCGGGAAGAGCGCGCGCCCCGGGTGCGCGCCCGCTCAACCCCGCGCGTCTTTTACTACGGATTGGCCAAGAGGTCGAGACTTTCGTTTTCTTTTACTCCCCTTCCGCGCCCCCGCGATCCGTTGAATGAGTCTTTCTCTCACACTCCCCTCACACGGGCGAAATTGCTTCAGGAATTCAGCCCTCCTTCCCCCGCCTCCCACCCCCCGCCCGGCCTCTAACCACCACCTTTGCTAACAGAGGAGTGTTGTAATGTTGGGGGTGTATTCCTGAAACGGCGATTCAGGAAGATAAGCCTGTCAGGCGCGGTTACAGCGCCTGCCAACATTTCTGCATGCAACAGAGTAGTGGTGGAAGGATTTCTCTCTTTTTTTAAGTTCAGTTTCAACATCGCGGGGGAAGAGAGAGATAAAAGGCTGGGAAACAAGATATTCTGCACTCTTCTTTTTTTAAGGCAGTCTATGAGCAAACCCACAGAGCAACCATGTTACAGTTGTAAGCAAAACAAAATACCCCACCATCAACAGGCACGCAGCTTTATTATAGCTACAGACAAGACGCCGACTATAATCGTTAATGGATTTCCGCAAACGCCCCGTTGCTCCGCACACTCTTAAAAGAAAAAGCAGCAAAACCAACCAACTGACCTCAAGGAGCGCCCCGGATTTTCCATCGCTAAATTATAGGCGGACAAACTGTTGCTTTTATTATGCACTTTGTGCAGCCGGTTTGCATTACGAACCTCCCTGTGATCTCCGTATGAAGGGCGGCGGACAAATTCAATGGAGAAATGAAAATCAACTCTGAAACACTCTCCCACTCCGCTTCCTGGGGGGGCTGCGCAAGAAACCGGACAGACGGAGGATCTTTCCGAGCCCGATCTCTTCCCGGCGCCTCGCGATTCCCATGCAAAGCGGCGGCTCCGCTCCGCCCCACCCAAATCTGCCTTCCTGCTCCATCTCCTCCCTCCTCCCAAGTTTGCTTCCTGCGGACCGAGCGCACCACGAGCGGGCATGGAAAATATGTTTGCAACACTTTTCCATCCTCTGCCTGTTCCCCAGTCAGGCTGCCGGGGGGAGGGCGTCCCCCTCGCCAGGCCCCGGGGGCGAGGGCGAAAAGCGGGAGAAGGAGAGATCCGTAGGATCTGGCTTACTTTGGGCGCCTGTCTGTAAGCAAGCAGGCGGCGAGATCGCCGCGCCGGGTGTCTTTCCGAGAGCGGCGGGCTCCAGCCCCCGAGAACCCACCCAGCCGCTCCAAGCGTGGCGGCTTCGGCTTGCTCGCAGCATCCGCACCCGGATCCGCGACGGCTTTGCGCGGCGCCGGAGACCAAGGCGGCTTCGCAGCTGCCTTTCCTCCGCCTCCAGCCAACCCGCCTTTCCCAGACTGGGAAAACCCCCTGGATTTCCAAGGGAGGGAGGGAGGAGGAGATCTGAAAGGGGTGGGGTGGGGGAGAGCCCTGGGAAGCTCGATTCCGGATCCTGCCGGTCTCTCGCTCTTCCCGAAGTTTGGAGCGAGCCGGGATCCACCCGGAGTGGCGGGAAACGGCCCCAAGTCCAGACTGCGGGGATCCTGACAACGCGGCGCGCTTAGGGCGCAGACACGAACCTGCGGGAAGGCGGCTCCTCGGCGCGGTCTCCGCGCTGCCTCTTCGCCCCTTTTTTAAATCCAGCGTTTTGCGAGTCGAGTCCCTCCTGCTCCGAGCGGCGCGAGCTTAAGAAAATGCTCGTCATGGCAACGCCACTGCCTAGCCCGGCCAGACTCGCGCCCCCCGCCCGCCCTTCTCCAAAGGAGGAGGGACTCTCTTAAGGTGGAGCAGGCGAAGCCCGGACGCCTCGGAGCTTTTTAAGGGGGAGGAAGGGAGATGCGGCTCCCTGAAGATCCCTGGAGGGTTTTTGCTCGCGAGCGCGACTCCCCCCCCCCCCCGCTCCTCCTCGTATGTAGGGAGACAGATAAAACTCTGAGCAGGAGCAATGGAGGACTAGGGAGGAATGGGGAGAATCGGAGATGCCGGGCTCGTTTGCTTTTTTTCTTTTTTTAATTGCACGCTGCTACAGGCAATTATTAAACACCGCTGCTTTGGAAGAAAAGGCAGCTTTTAGAACAAAGTATCTCTCGATTGCGACTGCTTTCTTTCCGCCCACCATGTTCCTTTCTCCCAGACCAACTTAACCAGTAAACAAAATATCTATATAATGATCGCAAGAACATAACACAAAGGTGCATAGCTACTTTGTTATTTCTGCAAGGCTTTGCAAACAGTGATGGGGTTCTTAGAACTACTCACGCATCGTAAAGTAGATCAGCCACCTGCGACGTCTAGACTTTGACCCGATTGCCATAGAGCACCTATCAGCCAGATATCCATGGGTCCTAGTTGGAACAGACCCTTTGAAATTAATAGACATTTACTGGCTCATATCCATTAATTTTAATGGCCTTATGTAAGTAGGACTGAGTAGGAGGCAGAGACGTGCTTTTTGTTTCCATTTTGTAGACAATTTTGAAAACCGTTGAATAGTACAGAAATGTAATATCCTAATCAAATAGATTTGAGTTGGGTTGCACTTCTAAATAATGATTCTATGTTTTGAAAGTTACAGAAACTTTTATCCTTTCTATTAATGGGGGGGGGCAAAGGAGGTCCCTGCATTCTTCCCTCCCAGAGTGATACAATTACAGTGATATCTTGGTTCTCGAACTTAATCCATTCCGGGACTCTGTTTGACTCCTGAAACCGTTCGAAGACCAAGGCACGCCTTCTGATCGGCTGCAGGAGCTTCCTGCACTCAATAGAAAGCTGTGGAAGCCACGTTGGACGTTCTGCTTCCAAAAAACATTCGCAAACCAGAACACTTACTTCTGGGTTTGCAGTGTTCGGGAGCTGATTTGTTCGACAACTAAGCCATTTGGGAACCAAGGTACCACTATAATTATTCTTGCTTGCCTAGGCTCATTACCTAGGACTAACGGTAAAGGTAAAGGTAAAGGTAAAGGGATCCCTGTCCATTAGGTTCAGTCGTGACTGACTCTGGGGTTGCTGCGCTCATCTCGCTTTATTGACCAAGGAAGCCAGCGTACAGCTTCCGGGTCATGTGGCCAGCATGACTAAGCCGCTTCTGGCAAACCAGAACAGTGCATGGAAACGCCGTTTACATTCCCACCGGAGTGGCGCTCATCTCGCTTTATTGGCCGAGGGAGCCAGCGTACAGCTTCTGAGTCATGTGGCCTGCATGACTAAGCCGCTTCTGGCAAATCACAGCAGCACACAGAAACGCTGTTTACCTTCCCACCGGAGCGGTACCTATTTATCTACTTGCACTTTGACATGCTTTCGAACTGCTAGGTTGGCAGGAGCAGGGACCGAGCAACGGGAGCTCAGCCCGTTGCGGGGATTCGAACTGCCGACCTTCTGATCGGCAAGACCTAGGCTCTGTGGTTTAACCCACAGCACCACCCGCGTCCCATTACCTAGGACTACTACTGTGCAAAAAGCAGAAGTGGCTTTCTGGTTAAGGTGGAACCTCTATAATAGCTGCCAGGCAAGGGGGTCGCTGTTGCTTACTGGGAGGGAGATGGGAAGAGCAGAAGGCAGTGGGGAGGCTGGCACAGTGAAACTGAACTAGCAGAGCCAATCTGGTACTTCTGCTGGTGCATTTGCACCATGCTGACCTCTCCTTCACCTTGCCCCTCCATCCAGTCAACTCACTTGCTGGGCAGCTAGCCCCACCCAACTCACTTGTAGAGAGATCACCACAGCAGATCCTATGGCGGGGTGGGAAAATTGGGCTTGGGAAATGAATGCAGCCCTCCAGGCCTATCTATGCTTTTTGGATTATTTCTCAGGCCACACCCCTCTCCACAAACTGCACCAGCCACACCTTCCTTGAGTGCTTTTGCCTGGCTTCAGGATAGATGTGTGTGCATGCGTATAGACCACATAACTGGAATGTGGGCTGTTGAACAAAGAAAAGATTTGCATCCCATGCTCCACCCACACTTGCCTCTAGCCACACCCACCACTACTATGCAGAGTCTCTAGAAGGTTATCCATGAGGGAATTATGCCCTTGAGCTGAATGAGGTTTCCTCGCCCAGTAAAAGGCAAGTTTCTTCTTTTCCACCCCATGAGTCATAACCCCAAGAGCCTTCTATCTTTCCTTATGCACCACCACAAACTCTTAGACTGAAAGCACTCCCCCCACCCCAGACCATCCTTAAATTATGGGTTATAAATTGTGGGTTGCCATCTGATTTACTCTGATTTTAAGCTGATTTTAAGCTGTATTTCAGTCGGTTGCTGGATTTTATGTTTTAATATAATCAACTGAAATACAGCTTAAAATCATAATAAATCAGATGGCAACCCACAATTTATAACCCATAATTTAAAGATGGTCTGGGGTGGGGAGTGCTTTCAGTCTAAGAGTTTGTGATGGTGCCAGTGGGAAGGTAAATGGCATTTCCGTGTGCTGCTCTGGTTCGCCAGAAGTGGCTTTGTCATGCTGGCCACATGACCCGGAAGCTGTCTGCGGACAAACGCCGGCTCCCTCGGCCAGTAAAGCGAGATTAGCACTGCAACCCCAGAGTCATCTGTGACTGGACTTAACGGTCAGGGGTACCTTTACCTTTACCTTTATATTTTGATGTTAGCCACCCTGAGCCCAGTTTGGCTGGGGAGGGCGGGATATAAATAAAATTTATTACTATTATTATTATTATTATTATTATTATTCCACATTCAGACAGGAAAGGCACACATCCTTAGCAAGACCAGGATCTGCAAAACAGAATAGCCAGGCTTTTTTGAAGACTGTGAGAGGCTCAAGTACTGAATATTCATTTGAGTAACTCCTGCCCTGCTTGCCTATTCCCAAGCTTTCTTCCCACTGCTACACCCCGTGTCGATGTCAATTTTTGCTCAATTGAAATGTACTGCTTGTAAGTGTTGGTGTGTCCCACTCCTTGTGTGAGGCCTGGAGCAATTGCCCTCCATTAATAAAAGTCTGATAACAGTGCAGCAATTATAGGAGGTGATTTTGTTACCCTGAGCTTCCAGAATGGGGTGGCTACAAATTCAAATAAGCTGATCATGAGGAACGTGATCATGAGGAGGGCGTGATCATGAGGAACAACTAACAGATTGCTTCAACTCCCAGAACCCCTTCTACTTTTGGTCACTTCTGCCTGCCATTCCTATGCACAAATAACATACAGTCCCAATTGCCATTGTTTCTTGTACTTGCTAAGAGACAGAGTTGTGAATCAGGAAGTCCACAGTGTGAACCTTGCCTATGCCATTAACTCAGGAGGTGACCTTGGGCAAGCCATGTTCTCTCAGCCACAGTGTCCCCATCTGCAATATGGGGGTATTTGACTTAACTTATAGAGTTGTTCATTTATTTTATTTTATTTTATTTTATTTTGAGTCATGTTAGGGGAAAATGTGGAGTATAAATTAAAAATAATAACAACAGTAATAATAATAATTTATTTACAAATTTAGATCTTGCTTTTCATGTAGTTCTTAAAGCAGCTTACAGCAGTAAAATATACAAAATTTAAAACATTACTTAAACCTCCAAAATTTAAAATCTCAAGGAATTAAAATGTAAAAAGAGAGAGAGAAGCATTCAGGGTGCAAAGGCTTCTTGACCAGGCACCTGAAACTCAGTAGGGATGGAATCTGTATAACCTCTTGTAGGAGGGATTTCCAATGGGCCCACAACACAGCTCTCCAGTTCCTCCTCAGCCTATATGCACCATCGGTGCTCATGGCTGAGACGGTGGTGGGTACCATGACCATTGACTCAGGGTCAGAGCTCATTGAAATGCCCAGAGCAACAGTCTGGTTGCCAAGGTGGAGCTTTACAGCTGAGTAAAATCAGGGACTCTCAAAGCCACTTTTGCCTGAGACATTAGGGTGTGTCTGGGTACACCCAGCACACTCTGTATGCATGCCTATTTTTAAAATGGGCCGTGTGAGTTTGAAATCTAGAAGTTACCAGCGCATGGAATACAGTAGCCAAGTCATCTCTGTCCTAAAGGCATCTTAGCTGGAGAACCAGCAGGAATTGGAGACAGGCAAGAAATCCTACAAGTTCCATTCCCCTTCTGCTACATTAACAGATTTAAAGTCCTTGTCTGCCATCCTAGAGTAGGTTTAGATGGGGCGGAGGGGTCCCTTCACCCAGCTTCTGCTGGCAGAGGAGCTCTACTAGCAATGGGGGAGCCCCACTGGCTGGAAAGGGGCACCCCACAGGGGGGTTACCTCCACAGAAGCCAGTGAACCACCATGACACCTTTTGGGGGCAGGTTGAGGGCAGACCTGAGGAAGATAGCCCAGTTCGTAGGGTAGGAGACTTTTAATCCAAGGATCATGGGTTCGAGCCTGTCAGGAGTGTGTGCAGGAGCCAGGCCCTGTGACCGGTAGGGCTTCGCAGGACTGGGGCTTTCCTAAGTTTGTTCTGGAGTGGCAAGACGCAGCCACACAGGTGAGGCTGATGGGTAACTCACAGCACCTGGTGGCAAGAGCCGGGAAGGGATATAAGGTCAGCATTTGCCTTTGACTCTTTGCCACAGCAACACGCTTCCTGCCTTGGGCTTCTTGACTTCTTGATTCCTGATCCTCGGACCCTTGGCTCCTTGACTCCCGGCTCTCTGAACCTCGGACCCTTGGCTTCTTGAGTCCTGGCTTCCAGACTCCCATTCCTGCTCCCACCCCGCCATCTTGCCCCCAGTCCTGACATCCTCGGCCGGGACTTCAATCGTCTGTAAACCGGACCGTGACAGAGCCTCATATTGGACAGAAGTTTCCTGCATTACAAGGAGTTGGACTAGAGGACCCTGGTGGTCCCCTCTAACTCTACAATTCTATGGTTCTATGATTCTGCCACCACAGGACAGCAATAGGCATGATCCTGGCCTCTTGCTTTGCTGGGAATTGGTGCTGCACAGAGGCATTGTTTTGCTCCATCCCCCCTTCCTCCCTGACTGGTTCAAAAGGTGGTGTTGTAGGCAAGTGGCAGTGGCTACACTGCTCCCTCAAGCCCCACCACTGCTAGCCAGGGGGTTGGGTTATAGCCAGCAGTAGCTAAGGATTTGCCCTTTCATGACACCTAAAGTCAGATGGCCGAGACTGTTGCCTCCCTCTGCCTAACGGTAGAGCCGGATTAGCTGAGTATATTTCCATTAGATCAGTCACCTGCTAGTTCACTATATTTAACATACTAGAACTTTCAGTTGAGACACGATATTTCCTGAAAGTTGAAGATGAATATTTCCATGGGAAATAATAGTAAACTTTGGGAAATACTACTTTCCCGAGTAGTGGTCCATGAAGTGGGGCCCTCCTGGCACCAGTATTCTTGTAGCTTGCTTGGAGGGTGTGTGTGTGTGTGTGTGTGTGTGTGTGTGTGTGTGGAGGTGTGGTGGTAGCAAGGTTGGGGCTGCATGGTCACCTCAGTGAGAGGGCCAGATTACTTATGCTCAGCCCTGACCTCACCACTGCCCTGCACATCCCCAGGTAAGCTCCAGTGATGCTGGTGTTGGGAGGATGGCTCCGCCCACAACACATGGGCCACATTTGCACTTTATGCATCAATAGATTCCATTTTGAGCACCATTTGGTGGAAAGGTAGAATCAGTGGCACTTTAGAGCAAAAAGGGGGGCACGGGTTAGGGCAGGGTAGAAGTGCAACTTCTTAATTTCATCTGCCAAAGTGCCAGGGGAAATGGTGTCAGCTGCTGGAGCACTCAGGTAACTTGGGGGCATATTATGAAAGACACCTGAAATCCAGCTTTTGCTTAGAAGACTGGTAGCCTGTACCTGAGATTCTGTACATATCTTTTTTCATTCTCCATGTTTCTCTTGCTGCTGCCACTTACTCCAAAATACCTCAATTCTCAAGTCAACTTTTTGCCTGGTCTCTTCCCAATTGCCTCAAAACTTCCTTATCAAAAACTCCATCTACTTTTGCCTCTCGACCTTTGCACCTCTGGCACACTGCCCTTGGGCTGAAAAGCATTCCCTGTTGTCAGTATTTTTCTATTTTTTATTTTACCCTTTTACCATTTTTCTAGAAAAAGAGGTGCCAGAACTCACCACGAACACCTTGTTCTCTTAGAATGCCAATGTCCCCCACCTGTGAGGTGCTGGAATCCATCTGAGAAGTGCTGGGACTGAGTTCTGCCTGAAAAAAGCCCTGCCTGTAGTAAACTTCCTTGAGGATGTTCTGAAAGACACAAGGGAAAAAAAATGTTCTCTATTCAGATGTGACCTAGAAATATTGGTGTTATTTCCAAGCTGGTTATGCCTTAGATGAGCCTTGCCAGATCTAGTCCAGCCTCTTGTTACCTACAGTGGCCAGTCAAATGCTTCTGAGAAGATGTCAAGAAGCGCATGATGACAGCAATAATCATCTACTGCTGTTGTTCCCCAGAGACTGGTATTTAGAGGCATCCTGGAAACAATGCAGCCATCATGACCAGTAGCTATTGGCAGCTTTATCATCTGGGAGCAGCCCAAAACATTTTGCTGCCTGAGGCGAGGAAGCTGCTGGACTTGCAGCTGAATCATACTTCTGAAACGGTGATAGGACAGCATCTTCCACCACACAGGCAGCAGGAGGCTAGCTTGGGAGGCCCAACTATGTTCTGCAATGCCTTACCATCACTCCCTGACCTGCACCATCATCCACCTGCCTCAATCTGCTTAATGGTATGCCCTGCCTTTATCCACCACAGGCCATTGAGAAGTCAGGCATATTAGGCCACATTTACAACATACATTTAAAGCACAAGACTTCAAGCAGTGATGGCTACCCCCAAAGAATCATGGGAGCTGTAGTTTGCTAAGCATCCTGAGAACTGTTAGGAAGGCCTTACAGTTCTCAGGGTGGTTTAACAATCAAGCCTTCTTCATGGGGACCTGTGGAAATGGTAGCTCTGTGAGGAAAAGAGCAGTCTTCTAACTACTCTCTAATCCCCTTAACAAGCTACAGCTCCCAGAATTCTTTGGGGGAAGCCAGAACTGTTTAAAGTGTTTAAATGCATGGTGCAAATATGGCATCAGTTTTGCACACCACCCATTTTCTGTCCATCGCTGCCCAGGACTTCATTTTATTTATTTATTTATTTACTTACTTACTTACTTACTAAAATATTTATACATTGTTGCATTATTAAAAATAACATCACAGTGGTTTACAACAATATAAAAACATGAAACCAAACAATGACAGCAAAAAATGTTAAAAACAAGTTAAAAGCAAAAAGAAATTGAAAACAAGAAAGTTACTCCAAGAAAGTTACCCGACACTTCCAGAAAGATAAGGGACCATCTTGTCTAATTTGCTAGAGGGCTCCCAAAACTTGGAACTGGACC